ATAAACAGTTGTAATTAAGCTGGAAAACCTGTTAACAGTGTTTTCACAGGTAAACAAGTTTTTCTTAGAACTGAAATAAATGAATGCTTCTAATACACAAATTAGAAATTAAGTATAAATATATCCCAATACTTTTGTTGTATTGGGTTATTGCAAATAAAAAGGCCGATTTTTAAAATTTAAACTTTCCAGCCTTATAGTTCAACTTTTTTCCATGTGAACAATGCTGTATGTTTGCAATTGGAAGAGCACACACATAATATGTGAATTTAAAAATGTAATTTCATTTATATTATCAGTTCCTCATGTTTAAGAGTACTTTTTCTGACGGCATGGAGAAAAGGAAATTGAATAAGTTTTTTTATCGAGTATAAGCAGGGACATAATGCAGCCAAAGCAATCCAAAATACCAATAAAACTTTTGATGAAGGTTCTATGAGTGAGCAGGCCACCAGGCATTGGTTCAAAAAATTTCATTCCAGGAATACAAATCTCAAAAATCAGAATTGAAGATCATCATTGAATCAGAACATCACCTCTGAGAAATCATGGAAAGGTTGAAAATACTGGACATTATTCAACTATTTCTTGACATCTAAACATGTTAGGGAAAGTCAAGAAGCTCGACAAATGGGTACCACACAAACTCAGTGAGAAATAAAGAGCATCATTTGAAAGTCTGCAGTTCTTTAACCCTTTGGTGAACGCACTTTTCAGAAGCTCATGAGAGGGCACATCGCAGCAATTATATCACATATGTAATATTACTTGATTTAAGTCAATAATTAATTATTGTTTTGAAAATATCAATCAGATATACCAGAAAATTAATTTTATGACATTTTAATGAACAAATTGGTTATAAAATATTTAGATAATAAAAAAAAGTTACTCTATATCCATGTGATGTTCACCTTCACACATGGCACATATAATCACTATATTACTATGCTTTTTGCAAACATTTCTACTCATTCCTGACAAATTGATTTTTTCCTATTGTTTTTGTGTATGCCTCAAATAAAAGAAATTCTAATTGTTTGCTGCTACTTTGCACCTCTTGCCATGGCTCTTGGTTTTCTTTATATTTTTCCAAAAATATAAACTAATATATTTTTTAAAATTTATAGAAACTTATGACAGTGTTAATTTAATATATTTATTCAATAAACTTGCAAATATTGACATACTTTATTAAAAAAATTAAACACATAAATATAAAAGTATACTGATATTTTAGTTACATGGCAGGGCACATAGCGGCAGTTACAATGCAAATGAAGTACGACTTGATTCAAAGTCCAGTAACAACTAAACGGTTAGTATAACTGACCCAATTTCATAAACATGTTGTATCATGTAATATGAAGAGAGAATACTATGACATACTTCTGCAATAATTAAGTACAACATCAAACAAAAGATTTTTTATTTTTATTTTGCGGCAATTTGCTGTGGGCGCATTTACCGAAGGGTTAACTATTTGTCACACAATTGAAAGTATTCAAATAAAATTTTTCTCCATCCACCTTATTCTCCAGACTTTTTGCCAACAGACTATCACTTTTTTTAATACATTTGGACAGTTTTTTGGCAAGGAAAGTCTTCAAGGGAAAGGATGCAATAAAAATTACCTTTAATAACTTTTTGGCTTCTCATTCCTATGATTTCTATCAAATTGGTGTTAATACATTTCTGTTGCATTGGAAAAAGTATATTAATGTTGGTGGAGACAATTTTGATTGAATATGTAAGTTTTAAATTAAATTAATAAATGTTCAAAGTCAGAAGGAAAAATTGGCCATTTCATTTGCAACAACCTAATAAATAAATCTATTAATTTTCATATTGTTATGATTTCATAATTACAAGTTTTTAAGTTGACTTAAAATTCAAACTGTACTTGAAAAATATTTGAAATGAACATAATACTAATAGATATTTTGGATCCAGGAAAAAGCTCCTAATAAGTAAATAAAAATCTAAATTTTTATTCATTAGAGAAATGTATATCTGTTACTGTGAATGACCGAAATCTGGCAAATGTCAACATTCTCCGATGAATGTCAACATTCACACAGTCATTTCGTGTATGTCCGAAATATTTGCTAAATATCATTATTTCTCACTTACACCGGCAAATGTCGACATTCAGAATGTGCTGATGGTGAATGTTGAATAAAAATATTTTTATTACGTTAAAACAAAAATGCAACTTTTTAATATGTGAAAATAGGAGAAAGCTTAAGTAATGTAAAGTACATGTAAATAAACTGTTGAACCTAAAACAAACAGTACATTCTTAATCATTAAAGAAAATAATACAATAATAAACTTGCACATAAATTATGTGATTAACGTTATACAATCTTATTTATTGCAACAACTTAAACTGTTATGGCATTTTGAATTGCACAAGAGTCCCTTGCTTTTACAACTGCATTTATTCGTGGAACACTTTTTTTTGCAATGACAGCGTGTATAGCATTGCCCTCCACTTTTCGAATTAGCTGCATCTGCTTCTCTCAGCGATATTTGTTGAGAAGAAATCTTACCTATGGAAAATTTTCTTTACAAATTACGAACTGATTACGGGTATAAAGCTGCTTGAGGGTATCATTTTTGTTTGCTAATTTATAAAAGTCGGAGTCTTCTATTCTAACAACAACTGCCAACACATTTCAGGCATCTGTACGGCCACGGTCAACATCAGGGACTTGTATTCATACAGTATCACCAATTTGAGCAGAAGGAAACGGTGAAGAATTTGGCGACAGACTGTCGCCTCTCCATCGACATTGGCTTCTCGGGTGTCGTTTCAACCTCCACCAAAGCTTATCTGTGCTTGTCGACATACACCGACGATTGTTCGAATGTATAATAATATAACAAAATATTTGGTCTTTCACCGACGTATTTTATATGTGTCGACATTCACCGGATAATATCGACATTCTCTAATTTCGGTCTTTCACAGTAACATATCTAATTAATATAACTTTTTATATCATTTAATATAAATATAATTTTTTTAACAACCACTTTTTTAAACACTTAATCATATGAAAGTTTTTATGAGAGATTAAAGTATAATTATAAACAATTCATAATCCAATTTTAATTGATTAAAGCCAAATAATCTTTGCCAAAATTATCAGGCTACTATTAGTAAGAGATGACAGCTTAATCACCTACCTCTAACCAAATTAATTATTAAAGTATAAAACTGTAATAAATTTATAAACTGCTGTTTATAGAAGTTGTAACATCAAGAAAGACACAGGATAATGAAATGAAATTTATTAAACAGATTACATATGATACATGTTAATGACTATAAATACTGTATAGAATTTTAGGTATATATTCAATACAGAGTATTGTCTTCTGTAAGTTCTGAATGGCAATAACAGTTATTTATATGGCATTAACCTTTTAATGAGTACTCCCATATATATGTAGGTCACTTACTAAGTCATGGCAAAATTTTTGCACAAACAAATGTATTGTTATACAAACATTTCAAAATACACATATGAAAAGACACAATGTACTCTACCAATAATGTCTGTTAGATGTATTGTAGACAAGAGAGGAAATGCAAAAAACAGAACTGGAACTAGTCATTTCATTTATTGCAAATACCTTATAATGTTGAGACTAGTCTGCACACACATTAACAACCTTCAAAGTAATTGCCAAAGCAATCAATCATTTGCTGCCAACGATGAAGAAAGCAATGAATACCATCTGCTCTTCCATTGTCCAATCTGGTAATCTCATGTTGCACTGCATTGGCTATATCTTCTCATGTATGGAATTGATTCTCATCCAACAGAGCTTTCTCAGTCAAATTGTAATCACAGGATGAAAGATCTGGGGAATAGGGGGATGTTATAGGTACTTCCCATCTCCAGCACTATAAACAGTTGTTAACACACTGTGCAGTATGGGCTGTAGCATTATTGTGAAGAATAATAGCATTGTGCAACAATTCAGGATATTTATCCCTGATTGTGTGACATAGGTTCTGAAGATAAGTGACATAGTAGGCTGCATTGATAGTTTGCCCATGTGAAACAAAATGACGTAAAAGAATTCCTTAAATGTCACAGGCCAAAATGACCATTAACTTCACTGGAGATGGACTTTGACAAACTTTGTGTTTTCATGATGATTCTGGGTGTCACCATTCTGTGGATTGACCTTTGAGCTCAGATTCATAGGCCCTAGCCCAGGTTTTGTCAATGATAATGATCCTGTTCAACATGGCATCTCCTTCATGTTCCTATCGTTGCAGGTTCACACAACATGTTTCATAATGTGTCCACTTTGGAGTTCTGTCAGTGTGTATGGCACACATTTGGCAGAAATTTTGCACATGTGCAATCATTTTGTAAAATTTTATGCACAGTTGCCTGGTCAATACCTGTTTGTGTTGCCAACTCCTGCAGAGATCATCATTAGTCATCCTCTAAGCCAGTGTTCCGCAAGCTTTTTCTATTCGCGGCACACCCATGACATGTCTCAACACAGCACACCAAAATATTATTCCCCTCAAAAGTGTATGATATGATACTATTAATAGAATTATGTAATTTATTATTATTATTAAAATGAAATAATTGCTCAATACATTTTTTTAAAAGAATGAAAAATGAAATGATTAAATGTAACACTGATATCAAACAACTGCAATTTGTTATCTATGATCAAGATACAAACATTATTAAAACATTAACCTTTACTTCAGCCAACAAGTTTGTTAGCTGAAGTTAAAAGTTAGTGTTTTAATATTCTATATTTTCAGTTTAGAAATGTTAAGATAAACACAATTAAACAGAATATTTCATATATTACTGTATATCTTTAAGAGATATCAATCAGATAAAAAGAAGACTATTTAATACAAAAATATATCTAAATGTCCGTTAATATTTAATCAAAACGATTTTTCACTAATTATAATGTAAAGATTTTCATTGGAGAATAAAGTTTACCTGACGAAGTATCTCCTGTTGACGTACACGTAAACGCTCCCTTTCAACTTGTAATTTATGGAGACGCATTTTTTGTTGAAATTGCAAATTTGTTTGATTATTTGTAGTTCCAGATGTGGTTGTTATAGTTGGAGAAATGCCACCACCTGCAATATTACTCTGCACTGTAAGCTGAGATGTAATGGAGGGAGTTGAACTGGGCTGAACCTAAGTGTTAGAAAAATAGCAAAATATCATTTATAATATGAAAATTAAATAATGTGAAATTTTTCACACAATGTAACTACATTCATTCAAATACAACATTAATATGAACTATGTGCTAAATTTAATGACAAACCAAAACATGAAAGTTGATTTATTATTGTCAAGCATCAGCATATTAAAACAGCTGGTCACAATTTTACCCATTCCAAGTGAGCCTGACTCACAATGGGGTTGGCCAATATAAATGAGAGATTGAGAATAATGGCCCAATTTATATTACTCATGACAAAGTATAAAGATTTAGATCAAATTTGATTCTAGATAGCCACAAAGTAAGTTGACACCTTACCAAATGCATAATAAATACACTGATGTAGAAAATATTTTACTCGCTTATTGTAATAATTAAATCATATTATAATGTGAGATCCATTTGTAAATAATTAATATTTTGTAAATTGTAAATTCCATTTGTAAATTGTTAATATTTANAGCGTAGTTTATATGGATTATTTCCAAAAAAAATATATGTATTTTGGAAATGTTGAGTCGGATTAGTCTAGAATCGATTAATTTTATGGAAGAAAACCTTTCAAACAGCCGTAGTCAGTAAACTTCACACGTGTCGGGCTGTGATTGGCTGTGATTCCTACAAAATTGATTCTTAAAGAACGGAATGTATCTACCATCTTATAGGGAGATCGACTGTATGTAAAAGTTCACGTTACACCTTACACCTTGTGAAGGCACACCAGTTGCGGAACACTGCTCTAAGCTATGGGCGATAACAGCAAGAGCAATCGATATGACCAGTCCTAAAACATCCAGTACAAGGCATGTTTGAGTTGCTGCTCTTCCATATTCAAAAGCTGCTACCCACCTTACAATAGTTCTGTATGGAAGAGTATGCTCACTGACAACTTCTATGAGTTGTGTATGACATTCCCTTGCATTCTACCTGTGAAGCATTGCAATTATTATGTACACACATTGTTCCACTTGACTCACATCCATACTGAACGACGGTTGAAAACCAACTGACTTTGTGCTTTGCTTCCGTTGACATTTTGGAACATCCACACCATCTAGCAGTGTCATTGTGCAACAATATGTCTCAATGTCATAGTTGTACATTGGAAAATATGGATTGCAGCATGGAATTCCACAGAAGAAAAATGTTGCCACGACTTAGTAAGTGACCCATCCATGTACTGTACAGTAAGAACCCTGCTTAATGTGGGGGATGCATTCCTAGATGACAAAGCGCTAAACGAAACAGTGTTAAACAAGATCATTTTAACATAGAGTAAATAAGGAAAGGGGAACATGCAACCAAAAATAAACAAACTTTACTTTAATTTTAAGTTGTTTTTATATTAATTTGCATAATAATATATGTTAAATAACATATAAACATATGCACACAGAAATGTAAAGTTCATTTTTTGTGATGTAGGTCCTGGCTTTTCTGAAATTCTTGTTTTTTGCGATAAAATTGTGTAGTTTCATTTGTCGCTTAAGCAAATGTTGGTAGCAAAAGATCACATCCAAAACACCTCGTTTTGCTTTTGCACCCCTTTCAAAATCTAGATCATTTGCTACAATTTGATCAACAATTTCAGTTATTTTTTTGTAGAAAAAGGCTGGCAGAATTACTATGTAATAAAAAGTAAAATACATCTTGATTCTAAAGAAAGGTTGTCTCTGCAATGGAAATAGTTGTTCCTGGTGATTGGACATGGCAAGCAAAATTGGACTCGTATCCAGATGTATTTTAATTTTTATTAAATTTCAGTTATTATTACCAAACTTTTACTAAGGAAATCTGTAGAGAAATTTTTTGGATTCTTCATTTTCAGAATCTCTGTTTTCCAGTTCTACACGCATTCCTTGTTCTCCCAGTTCTTGAAGATCATCGTTGGTAAGGCTCTCACCAAAAACCTGCAATAACAACACTATGGATGCCATAGGCAATATTGACTTCGCTTGGCAAGAATTAACTGAGAAATGCATGAACGAAATGTGGAAGACGTTATGGCTGAAGGTATCCAAGAATTCTCAGCGAGAAGAGTCTATCGCTGTATCATTAGGTTGACTAAATTGTCAGCCTAATCGATACAGCAGGATTAGAAGATGTAGATTAGCAGGATATTGAGTAGTTACTATATTTTTTTATTTGTTTTTTGAAACCGTGTCCTGTTTTATAATTCTGGCATAGTAAACACTAGTATTGTGTTGTATTCCAAAGACACATGGCAAGTCTTCCATTTAATATCTTTATTTGTTGAGTCGATACGGCACATTGTTTTGTACTTGTTTCAGGCTTTGCCCCTCTTCAGTCAACTATAATACAATATATATTTTTTATCTATTACAGTAGAGAACTTACATAAAAAACAATGAGTACACAAATGATATATAGACGTACTGTACCTTTGGTTACACTTTGTATAATTTAAAATCTTGTAAAATTTGCTTTAATCCTTTTATGGTTAAACCAGTATACATTATAATTTAAAAACTTCCATAAACCTTCCCTTTCTTTGACACAATACAACGATTAAAAATTTTTAGTTGTTTCCACCCCCTTTATACTCCCCTTCCTTTTCTGGCGTTTGCACAGGTATCTTTGTAATCCTCGTATTGTGTCAAAAAAAGGGAAGGTTTATGGAAGTTTTTAAATTATAATGTATACTTGTTTAACCATAAAAAGATTAAAACAGATTTTACAAGATTTTAAATTATACAAAATGTAATCAAAGGTAAAGTATGTCTATATATCGTTTGTGTACTCATTGTTTTTTATGTAAGTTCTCTACTGTAATAGATAAAAAAAAATATATTGTATTATAGTTGACTGAAGAGGGGCAAAGCCTGAAACAAGCACAAAACAATGTGCCGTATCGACTCAACAAATAAAGATATTAAATGGAAAACTTGTCATGTGTCTTTGGAATACAACACAATACTAGTGTTTACTATGCCAGTACTATATTTTTTTCAAAATTGCACAAAACAAGCATAGATTTAAAGGAAGTACAGCACTACAATACATTGCCACTTTTTGCTGATTGGTTCATGTTCGTAAATAATCATATTATATATGAATCATCAATGGAATGATGCAATAATTTAAATCAGCAAACAGCGTAAATTTTGAGCTTTTTTTTTAAGGCTCCAAGCAGACTGCGTTATACCAAATCAGCCTTAAGCAGGGTCTTACTGTATATATATATATACATATATACAGTAAGACCCCGCTTAACCAGTCAGTTGCCCGCTTAACCATATATATATATATATATATATACATATACACACACACACAATATATATGATGGCTCTACAAATTAAGAATATATGTACATTCTTAAAGTTTGTCTCCTCCTAAATATTTGAAGTTTTCAACACAGTCAAATCAGAAGAAAAAAATTATTAAAAATATGAATTGTACGACAAGATATTAATTTTTTTGTAAGTTTTACATTGTTTAAAATTCTCTCACTCTGGGAGGAGAGGGAGCCACTGGTAAATCCACTCATAAAAGGGTTAAGTGGAAGAAACTATGAATGACATACCATACTTCCTTTATTCATAACCAAATGTCATTCTCAGTAGATTTAGATGTGGCATGACAAGGAAGTTACTGAACAATCATGCTTCAGACATGTTCAATATATTATAAACCTGATTATTCCACAGATCAGTTAAGGAAGAAATATAAACATGCCTTGTATTCAGAAGATACAACATTTTGAACAAGATTCCAGTAATGAATTTCAGGGAGGAGCATGAGTGATTCAACAGCACCCCATATCATATATAATGCTATGATTAGAAATGCATGTTTCCAACAGCCAGTTTTCGCAGCATTTCAAAATAATTCTGTCCATCATGATGCAGCAGACTAAACTGTGATTTGTCTAAAAACACTATATAGTACCAATCATTGTCCCAGTGTACCACTTACACCATCTTGGCACCACTGCAGTCTCTGATGTCGATAGCATAAGGTAAAAGAAAATTACAACAGATTGCAAGCAAAGAGCTCCTCTACAACAAATGCTGCCAAAACAAAACTTGAAAACATTTTCTGATGTATCACACTCTTCAATCACTGTGTTAACGTTCAGACATGGCTGTGTGGTCTACACTCACTATCTGATACAAAGTGCCAATCGTGTTGTTCATCTGTGTAACATTTTATTCCAGATTCCTTACATCAACATTTACAATCTTCTTCTAACTACTGATATCATATTTTCAGCAAAACAAATGGCAAGGATAAGATATCTTTCTAAAGTCTCATAACATTTGAAGTCCAACAGAAATACAAGCTGCACAGACTGCATATCTATGCCAGAATAGTTGAGTAAATGTGACTCACACAGGAATTTTGCACATGAATTGTGTTGTAATCATATTCATTTCCTACCATGACAGCAGTGTATGTAAGAATAGAATTACAGAAATACAATTGAAATAACCGGTAACTGTAAGACCGAGACTCCACTAGCATAAAAACCCTCCCCGTAAATACTTTAATCACGTGATCTATTTGCGTTTGTGCTTGAATTGCGGTGGAGGTCTGGCTCCACTAGCAAAGTTTTTACTTTGACGGTACTATCGAAGTTACAGTTGTATACGTCATATATTAATATAAAGACAATGATTATATTCTACAAGTTTTTTCTGTACTATAATTACAAATGTAGTAAAAATAATATCTTTACTTTCATATATTAACTTTTATTATTGTATTATTAAGATAATATAAGCTTAGCTTTTTTATTATATACTTCTCCAAATTGAAAGACTTTCTTACGGCCGACCATATTGTGGGTTTTAGGCATCCATTATCATAATCAGGATACCTCTTGTCGTAGATACATGAATACTTTCGGATGTTTTCAATAAATCTTTCCAGATCTATTCTAGGTCTTTTCCAAGTAGCCACGAGAGAACATACACAAAAGCTCGTTTTCTGCCATTTTGCACCA